AAGTCCATCTTAATGACATTATTTAAAACTACCATGGTCATCACAAAAGGAAGTAGGGAGTGTCTGAGTCAGAGGCTTTATATTTCACAGTCGTGCAGGGAACTCTTTCAGACTCACCCAACCAGCTGCTAACTTCCTCTATGAAGAGAGTAAGGTAAATATTTCTGAAGCCCAAACTTAAAAGTCTTTGCAGACACTGTTGAGTGAGAGAGAGGCGAAAGAGAGCCGTGAATGAATCATGCTCCTTCTCTGTATCTGAGAGTCTAAACTCATCGAATGATATCCAAATTGTTGCCTGGTCATGTTCTCAACTTCTCTATCTCAGGCTTTGTCTATGGCTGACTTTCTGTGGTGTCCTGGGAGCACAGTGTGCAGGGGATCAGGCCAGCTGAACACTTCATGTTCCACTCTTCGAATGATAAATAGTATTTTGGGAATTATGTACAAAGCTAGACTCTATATTTCCAATGTTCTTAGTTAAGGCATTGTAGGTTGAAATATACTCATTTTTGAGATTAGAATTGAACTGTTTTAATTGCATATCAAAGTGCACATCTGATTAGGGATTCGTCAATATTTGAAACCACATTTTTAATATAAATGGAAAGATTAGAAAATATTTGTGTAAAGGAGTAACTCTATTTATAGCATTTAACTTATATGGTAATGATAAAAATTAAACATGCTAAATAGTAATTATTCATTTTTTTCTCCAACCTGTGTATTTGGTTTGGTAAATACAGGAGTTTTATTCTCTTAGTAATATTCCATGAAATATGATTACTTTTCCTTTTACAGACAAAATTATTCTAAGATTAGATAATATTTTGATCAAACATTTAAGGCACATAATTGATCAATTAAGTATAGTAATCTTGGGTACATGAAATATTATCATTGTAAGTTCATGTTTTATTGAATGTGGCTTGTCTCTGTTTTTTCTTATGCTTTATTTAGCAATTATTTTTCTTTCTTTTTATTAGGTTTTTAAAAATGCTTTAATGAGTACAAATTTGTTCTTTTGTGTTGACAATAGGAAGAAAGGGATAAAGAATTTCTTGGATTGAAACATATCATAAGTAAGCAAATAGGCTTCAGGCTTCGGTGGACTTCTAGGTCCTCAAGTCTGATGTTTGGGGTTGAAAACATGAGTTGTATTAGCTTGAAAATTATAAATTAACTACATATCAATATATTAAGCTAAAGTATTTATGTAAGGAACATAGAATACGGTATATTTACAGTAAAATATAAAGTTAATAAAAAGCCAAGTTCTTACCATATGAAAATAATTTTCCTTCATTGCTATGTCCTGACAACGGCATATGAGGTAGTATCATACGATATCTTTTCTGTAGCTTAACATTATTTATTTTTCTTTTCACTTTCCTTTAGTTATTTAACTAGGACCCAAGTCATCAGGTACTTGTTGATGGCTTGTTGAATTTTGCTTTTTTATTTTTTTCAAAGAGTTGGTGTGAAAAGAATTCATAAAAGAAAGAAAAAATCAGTTTTGGCACCATGTTAACATTTATTATCTGTCCCCTGATGGAAACCTAGGTGTAAAACAATTAAGTCAGCCTTGAATATAGTTCTCTGTTTGCCAACGAGATTCCAACTTTATGTCAGATGAGAAGAAAAGTATCTTGCTTTTATTTCTGGAACCTAAAGTGAACCAAATAAAGCTTATCACATCAATTATATGACATGAACATACTTTTTGGTATTTATTTTCAACATGTATGCACAAGATTGCTTAAAGATGTATTATCTAGTGCCATTTATCATTTTAAAAGCCATTGCTTGAGAATTGATAAGGGTCTAGGAATGTCTTGGTTCATATGTCTCTGTAATGATTATTTTTCTAGTATGGTTTCTTTGCCATAAAACTTACCTAAGTGATTTAAAAAAATGTACTTGATACCTGAATCCACATATTTCTGTGTAGTTTCTTTTCTGTTATGTATGTTTTGTGAAAAGTTACCAGAATGACTAAAAGGTTAGAAACTGAAAATTTGTGATTATTGCTTAGAAAGTAATTTAAAGAATGATTTGAAAGAGGCTTTTTTTTTTGCCCCAGAAGGTAAAATAGTAAAAAATAAATTTGTAAAGAAACAAGATAAGTTGGAGCTTGAGCAAAGAAAAATGTACTGGAAAATGTGTTTTTGTGCTTTGGAATATGGTAGTACCAAGTAGCTTCCAGAACCCATTGGACCAAGCAGTCAGGTCCCCTAACAGGGTCATTTAAAAATCTTTCAGGTCTTATTTTAAAGATGCTAGTCTATGTTATACCAAATATATTAAAATATACCCACAATTCTCTCTTAAATAGAATTTTCACTGTAAATAGTTTAAAGGGATTATTATGACTTTGCATTTAATGTTAGTTTCCTAAGAGTCATTTATTTCATACTAGAGACCTGGTGCACAAAAATTTGTGTGCTGGCGGGGTCCCTCAGTTCAGCTTGCCCCCTCTCACAGTCTGGAAGCCCTCAGGTGATGTCCTACTGTCCCTGTGGGGAGCAGGCCTAAGCCACAGTCTGGTCTCCCTCTGTGGAGGCAACTGGCTGATCAGGGAAAGTGCTGCCTCCAACACCCTGCTGCTCCTGCCACTGCCAGGCATGGCAGCTTCAAGGTCTGAGCCCTGGGCCTTGCAGCCACCGGGGCTCAAGACTGCCTGAGCCCACGGCTGCCTGAGCCCTGGTCCTCACACCCGCTGTGGCTTTGTCCGAATGGACATCTGAATGGAAGTCCAAAAGACGCCTGCCCTAATTAGCATATTACCCTTTTATTAGTATAGATACTATGATTTTCAGCAAGCAACATGAAGTCTTAGAAATTGTTTCAAGATAATCTAGCTCAGAATTTCTCCCCAAAATGAAAGAAATTTTTATGACTATTAAACTTAATATAAAAATCAACTTAGGTTTCAAATTAAGTGTATTTACTTCTATGCTCATTAATTTTAATTTTACCATTTTTCATATTTTAGAAACAATACTTATATTTCAGGTATAAAATATGATTTTGGGTACCTTAAAGGTTTGGGGACTTTAGACACTATCAATATTGCTCACAGGATTTAATGCTAAATTAGTTAAATATTTTTCAGGTAGCTATTAAAAGAACATAGGTGTTCTTTCTTAGAGTAAAATTTGTGTGGAGTGTGATTTTTCTCACCCTGTATTCCTGGGGTTATAATTATAGAGCAGGACTTACCTGGAATTGACAGGTGCTGAATTTGACCTTGAAAGACAGTCTCATTTATGACCTTGTGCCTTGGTGATGTCTCAGGGCTTGAAATTCCAACGGGCAGAATATGGGGTTCTCAAACACGCTGGAAATCTCCAATTTGTTGGTTTTCAGGACAGAACAGATTGTTAGCATTTACTAGAGAATAAGGAATGTAGCAGCTTTCATCTATAGTGAGTCAGGCATTTTATAGAGATGTTTATCAATTTTATTTTTAAACTCAAGCTCCCATTTGGTAAAATAGAAATTGAAAACTTATGTTAATGTCATTTGTAATTTTAAAAGGCATTACATTTTTGTGGCTTCAACAAAGTCAGTTAGGTGATAATTTTAGAATATTCTTGTTTCAAACAACTTGTATGTCCCTCTTTCTGACCTTCTTTTGTTTCCACCCCATTCCCTGACCCTTCACTCCAGATGCCCTGATGTTATGGTGTGGTCCTCTTATAGGTGTAAACATAGAAGAACACATGTTTTTCTGTCCTGTCAATTGATCATCTCATTGAATATGATGAAACTAAAAAGCTCAGAGAGGTTAAAGACCTGACCCAGGTCACATAACTATTAGCAACATTGTTGGAATTAGGACTGAGTCCCTTAAGGGTCCCCGTCTCTTGGGAACTGCCACACCATCAGATGTGATATCACAGAATATACAGGAGGAATAATGGAAGTATTCATGTTAATTTATATAGTCTGGGACAACTTTTACTATGGCGGCGGAGAAAGTATGTAAAGAAATACCAAAACAGTTTCCTGAAGAATTCCATTGTGGGGACAGTAACAACATTATCAAGAATTCAGATAATGCCATTTTCATCCTAGATTCTACATTTGCTATTATACCTTAGGTTCTCTAGTAAGATATAGAACTCTGTGTTGGAAAGTCTTATGAATGTTTGTGATACATAAAATGGTAATTACATTTCCATTTCCCAACTAAGCAGAAAATAATAAATACACTTATAGGACAAAGGATGCATAATATTTGAAATTAGGATGGTCCTAAAGAAAGTTAGGATATATGATTATTCTAAGAATGTGTATGCAGACCATGATGGAGGCAATGGGTAAGGAAATTCTGTTAAATCTCGAGGACTATAGCCCCTTTAATAGACTGTCTAATGTTGTATTATTTATTTTACTGCAAACAGCTTAGAAATCTGGAGTGATTTTAGAATAGGCCCATGAATGTGTCTGCTTAGGACTTTAAAATGCAGGGGAGGGGGTGTTGAGTGGGAATGATGAACAGGGCTATAGGGGGATAAACGGTGATGGATGGAGACTTGACTTGGGGTGGTGAACACACAATACAGTGTACAGATGATGTGTTGTAAAACTGTGCACCTGAAACTTGTATAATATTGTTAACCAGTGTCACCCCAATAAATTCAATAAAAATGAAAATATCAGAGGCCACTGGATAGAAATGCCACATCAAGGAGAAATAGGAATATGTCCTAGATAAGAATATGAGACCATGGGCAGAAATACAGAAGCATTGCACTAGAGAATATCAATGTGAAAAAAAGAGTGTTACATAATATGGTTGCCAGAAGAGAGGGTTTTAGTGTTGGCAGCAAGAATACTGGACCAAAGGAACTTTTTTGTTGTTGTTGGTCTAAGTTATTTGATGGTTACATCCAAAGCTGAAGAAATGAAGCTTTTAAAAAGTAAAAGAATATACAACCCATTATATTCACAAAAAATACACTTGGAACTCATTTTCTTTCCTTACTCTTCTCTAGGCGACACTCCATTTCATGATGGCCTCCCTTGATGCAGTAAACGCAGAATTTTGCTTCAATCTATTCCGAGAGATGGATAACAACCAAGGAAGTGGAAATGTCTTCTTTTCCTCTCTGAGCATCTTCACTGCCCTGGCCGTGGTCCGCTTGGGTGCACGAGGTGACGGTGCTGCTCAGATGGATAAGGTCAGTCTCAGTTGTGGTTTCTGCAATGAATCTTTAGGGCAACTTGTCCCCCACCCCCCAAGCCCCCAAATATTTGATTGCAATGGTCCCAGCTAAGTGAGGATATATCAATGAGCCTCTCTCCAGGTGTGAGTAATGCACACAGCTCGCAGCCCTTGTTTGTCAGCTGGGAGGTAGCAAGAATGTTTCCAAAACTGCAGTGTTGGTTTGTTGTTGTTGTTGTTTTGTTTTTTTCTTAGAACATGTTCTCAAAGTGTGTTTCCCAGCCCAGTGGTGTAAATTGAAGAGGACTTGTTAGAAATGCAAATGCCACTGAAGTAGAAACCATGGGGATGGATCCCAGCAGTCTGTGTTAAACAAGCTCCCTAGGTGCACACAAAAGTTTGGGAACCACTGTTTGAGTAGATATGGGTGAGAAAGAAAAGCTCTAAGGAGATAGCAATGAATCCTAGTTAAAATGCTAGTGACCTGGGCACAAAGAACATAATAGGGCATTCCAGGTAATAACAGCCTCCCTGAATGGTCACCACATTGTCACTACCACCTTTAGAAAGTGCTTATTAACTCACTCTTGTATGCTGCCCTGAGCCAGGCTGCACAGGGAAGTGACATGGTCATGGTTTCCCACACTTTGTGAATGAAATTTAGTAGCAGGAGAGACACCAGGCTACATGTGGAAGCCATTGTCACTCCTTTCATTCACCAATTCCTCCCATTATGGCATCTATCTATATGTCTCTTCTAAGTACTACCATGGACCAAAGTCTTTTTTCTTTTGATGGTCAAATGGTCACAGTTGGGCCAATACAAATCCCTTTAAACTATTTTTTAAATAAGGTCTTCCAGATGATTCTGAAATATCTTTGCTTACTGACAACGAGATTTTCTAGACCTGTCTTTAATTTTCTTGGCTCAAAGAAAGGCCAGCTAATCTCTGCAAAGCTTGGTCCTTTTACTAGATAATAGTATTAAAGCCCAGAATTGGTCTAAGTGAGGTTTCATGGAGTTAAGGTGGTCTGGAAGCTGCTTGCCATTTGAGTGAAAGAACCAAAAAAAGTATATTGATTTACAAGGTCAAGTGTTTAGTTTCATATTCTTTAATTTAGCTATAATATAACTGTATTTTATTTTTAAAAAAATATATTTTATTGATTTTTTTACAGAGAGGAAGGGAGAGGGATAGAGAGTTAGAAACATCGATGAGAGAGAAACATTGATCAGCTGCCTCCTGCACACCCTCTACTGGGGATGTGCCTGCAACCAAGGTACATGCCCTTGACCTGAATCAAAC